AGGCCGTCAGCCGGTTATGGGCCTCCTGTCTATGGGTTGGGTGCTGGTGTTGCGGCGACTGCTGGCATAACCAACTGTTGTCTCGAAATTAGTCCATTCTTTGTAAGAAAAGATATCGCGTCCTTTCTCTACTGCTTAGATCTTCTCCTACTTTCATTTTTAAGCCGTTTCTTTTTCAACCTACCACTCGCCACAAAGTACAACCTTATCGCGTGTGCGAACAATACGAGGTGTGCAAATCGTTTACGAATTGAACCAAGGAAAAGGACTCGGTTTCTTTTCGACTGCTTAGTCATATCGTCGCTACATATCGCCTATATATTTGCTGACGTCCGGTGTACGTTTGCCACCGGGAAAAGTAAACTCCGAGTCAATAATAACGTCCAGGGTCCGACAATGTTGATAGTTCTACTTGCAAAAGTAAACTCCCTTATCCAGTAGATCTAGAATAATTCCAGCGGTTCGCTCTCGATATATCGAAATTAACGCGGAAATAAAAGCATTTACCAGGGAAAATTGTCCCACCATTGTTACCTAACCCCTGTCAATGTATGCTCGATTAATGCGTAAACATACTTTCGAGTCCGTGTAATCGGGATTTAATCGACGCAACCATCTATCGGTGTCGGATCACGGAAAGGAACGCGGTTCCTTTTCCGTGCAACCTACCGTTACCACACATCATCGTTGCACCCGCGACGCGCGCCGTGCAAATCGGACGCCATGTTGGGCCGTGGTGACGTCGTTCTCCGCCTCAGCGCATCGGGTGCGACGCTTTCCGCTTCGAAAGAAAAGAAATCGATCCTCCCCGGTATCGATTTACCGCTCGCTCTCCAAATCAACACCTTCCGGAACAATCGGAACTCTCCATGAAATTAGATCTTTCCGGTCTTTCCGTTCAAGCACTTCGGACTACTTATCCTCAACCCCCCATCGTTTTGCTATCAAGAAACTTGGTACAGTTTCGCGCCAAATACACTTCCTGAGAAATTTGGACTATCGCGTGGTCCGCCCTATTCACGGCAGTTTTTGAAAAATGACTTCGCACGGTTCTGAAAACTGTCTTCCAGTCGAGTCACGACGCGATCAAGAAGTCTCATAAAAATCTTCTTATCTAGAGCTCGACGTCGGTTAGATCGTACACTCATGAAAGGCACGATCGATTCCGGGAATCGATATAACTTTTTGTTCCCCTTTTCTTTTAATGGCGACGTCAGTGCCTCGCCGAGGTCGCCGGTGCAAGAAGGGAGGTAATCGAAGCACTCGAAATCGGGCGTCGCGACGCGGGCATCCGTCCGTCCGGCCGACCGACAGGTGGTCGGCCGCGGGCGTCCCAGAGAGGAGCTGGGAGGGGAAGGGAGAGGAGGCGCGGGCCCGTTCCGAGCGGCGACGCTCAGTGCGCTCGTGGAGACCCGCGGCCCTGCGCGCGATTGCGCCGGCGCGTCGCGACGCCCAACTGGAGAGAGCAGAAGTGCCGCCCGAAGCCGCGGCGTACGCGCGCCGGGAATAAGAGACGCGCCCGCACTCTTGCAAATCGACCGCACTTGATTTAATGGGCCGCGCTTATTCGACTATACGTCGCCGTATTTTCGTATGGTGCATTACACATATATAGGTGTGTGTGTGTGTGGGGGGGGGGGGGTGCGTTCGTGGCGTGCGTGCGCGGGATAAGCGCTTTTTAATTAGGGCATTGGAAATTTCTTGCGAGGGTTTCTTTACGACTTTCGAGTCTTATTAAATTCGGATTTCCGATTTTGTGGGATGCTGGCGATTATGGATCCGATTATGGGAGCGAGTAGAGAGTTGGGCCGGGTTAGACGCGGATGCTGGGCGATGGAATGGGATCGAGTTCGTTTAGTTAGGTTAAGGTATTATGAAAGTGTCATGTGCATATACCAAAAAGTCAAAGTATTCAAGAAACTTTTTTTCAAACTGGATCCACCTAATTTGAAACTTTAACCCGTGATTATGGAGGTCTAAAGAAGGTCTAGAAACACGCGAAATTTCATTTTTCGAAAAGAAATTTTGTATTTATTCCGGACGAGAACCTGAAAAAGAAAATTGTATAAAAATATGAATTTTCGTGAGTTTCAAGACCTCATTCTGGACCTCCGTAATCACGCGTTAACATTTCAGATTATTCGGTGCACCCAGTTTGTAAATAAGTTTTATTAATATTTTCACGTCTTGATACAAAATGACTCTGTCGTGTCACCTTAGCACTAGCACTACCGGCGGATTTTTTTTTTATAGGATGGGCCATTTGAAACCAGTCATTTTGACTGGTCTTAGTACTTCTAGTGTTAACGGAGAGGAAGCGCGGAGGGCGGTTCGATATGAACGGGCTTGAGGTTATTCGAGGCTAAAGACCGACGGATCGGACGTCGGGGCGATTTAAGGTTAAACCAACGTAGGTACATCCGCGAGGGGGACCAATGGTCCGGCTACGTGGATTCCCCGGCGCGTGGGCGCCACTCGAGTCTAGGGAAGTCGTTCCTTCCCGGCCGCACGCGTCGGGCTCGCCTCGAGAGGACGCGTACCCACACTTGACTCCGTATCGGTTGACTCGACGCAGCCCCGTAGGTACTCGTGACTCATCTCGGCTCCATGGGCCTCCATGAACCCGCCTCGAGCTATCGAACGTCCCGATCTTGCTGCGCGGACCTCTCGAGTCTGTCCAAGGCTTGAGGAAACTTTGGAAGGTTCGACCGATCGGAAAACTAATGCAAATCTCTTCGGCGAGAACAGAGCCACCGCCTACTTGGAACCGACTCGAAGCAGCTGGCGCTAAATTTGAATACTTATCGGGAAATTCAAATCCGGCGTGGCGCGTGCATCTCTGGGTAGGAGACGCGTCCAGCTAGGTTGATTTTCTCGCTCGTGAGTGTCCTTGAGGTCGTGGAAATCTTTCCTCCTCGCCGTCCTAGCTGCGACAACAGTGCGCGATTCGGACTCATATCGAGCGATCGCGTCCCCACACTCGACTCGGTATCGCGCGAATCGCCTGAGCGAGGCGCGATTCCGTTGGTAGCTGTGACTCATCTCAACTCGGTAAACCTACATACGCGAACCTTGGGATATCGTCTCACCACGGTTCTCCGTCTTCGAAACCCGAGACTTTCGGTGACCCCAGGTGTTGACCGGCCGCTCGATACGCCGCTCCGAGTCGATATCGATGTGGGCTCTTTTTACGCTCTCTCCACTAATGGCTCAGCTGAGCGAGCGAGAAATTGTAAGGGGACGCTTAAGGTGAAATGAAACACGTCGAGGAACTTGATCGACGTCGGTAAAACAGGTTTGTCGAAATAAATACGTTGCCGACGTTCGTTTTCATATTGACAGCTGTGTCGAATTATATTGAGTATTGTATTAAATGGCATACTCCACATGTCGTTTTCGTGCAATAATTATAAAGAAATCGATGCAAAATTCCAGAAATCCCCTGGATTTATGGTTTCTGAAGCCTAAATTGACTAAAGAGGGACTTTTTGCGTAATCTGTGATTTCCGTGTCAACTAAATTTTCACTCCGAGACCTCGTATTGCCATCGCTTTAGCATAGAAGCGCATAAGACACTTTTTTCGTCTTTACCCCGTTCAAATGCGAGTTTCTCGATTACCAGAGTGTTCTAATTATCGTACAATTGTCCTGACACTTTCGTATCTCATATTAGAGCCTTCAATAATTGGATATCGATCGAAATATGAGAGCTCGACGCCATTATGGTTCTGGCCTCGGTTAAGTTAACAAATCTTTTTTAAAAATCTAAATTTAGAAAGTATTAGGACAATTCCTAGGTGTTCATTCGTCATGTGTCAAAGTTTCGGACAAGTTTATCCAATACTCTTAAATAAAAAGTGTTGTATTCGAATCGACCGATTCGAGGGGGGGTTTCACTTTACCTTAAATACTCACCTTATGCATCTCGCGATAAACTTTCATTGCATTCCGAATGCAGAACCGTATACTTCTCGTTGCATTCACCGAAACGTATTTACGGCTCTTCGTGATCTCTAGATTTAACATCGCGCAAATGTATTTGGCTCGAAACCCTATCGAGTTGATAAAGAAGGGTGGAGTTAAAGCAATTTAATGGGGTTTTGGCTAACGATCGAAGCCATGAAGTGCTATTAGAATTTTGGGCAGTCTTCTATCGGTATGGTCTTAATGTAGTTGAATTTATGGACGGTTTTAAGGTATTAATCGCTGTGAATGAATTGATATGAGGCAATTAGTCGGAACATTTCTGCCCGGTGCCATCGTCCGAAAGTTGCCTTTGATAGGCCTTGGATATGTCCATGCGAGTCAGACATCCCGAAGAGTCTGACCCTACGTAACCCGACCCTACCAGATTCGACCGCATATGTAGTCCGCGATTTAACGCATATCTAAATCGAGCATACATTACCAGGTCGGGCCTGGGACAACTTAAAACAATGCTATAAATCGAGTATTCGTCGCAAGGTAAGGGCTGACGCGACCTAAAGCAACGTTAAGTATAGAATGTACATCACCAGGTCGGGCCTGGCGTGATCTATTCCAGCTTTACAAATCGACCATACATTGCAAAGTCAGACCCAATGCGATCTAAAGCAATTTTAAAAATCGAATATACATCACCAGATCGGGCTTGGCGCGACTCTTTACGCCGCTCCTCGCACGCCCATCGACGCCGTTTCCTGGCGGTTTCTCATGACGCGTTTCGCGAGTACGGCCTTGGGGAGTCTTTGTACGGTATCGTGGCACGTCGCCGTCGGTAGGAGAGATACATCGACGGGGACAGGGAGAGGGAAGCGACGCCGGTTTACTTGCTACACGCGAGGTCAACCCGTTTTCGGCCGGCACGCCGCAATTACGGAATAGCGGAATGTACTCGAAATTGCGCCCGCGCCGAGATTCGGTTATGGGTCTCCCGATAACGCGAGTGCGATCGATCGGCTCCACCGGGTATTTCGCACCAGGTTTCGTTCTTCCACTCGGACGACCTTTTACGTGTCGACTTCGTTAACGGAAGAGGGGACTCCGGTGTAGCCGGAAACGCCTCGTAAAAAGCGTTGGAATTTTCATCGGCGTCATGGGGTCGCACGAGAGATGTGGAAAGAAATGCCGCGCGATCTACCGGGTTTAACGCGAGATTAAACTGTTTCTTATGCAACCCTAAAGATTTAATACTTATATACAGATACAACGTGACGGACGCGAATGCCGTATGTGTACGATGAGACGGCATTCGTGTCCGCCACTATACTCAAGAACCGTTTTGCGTTATCACAAAAAGGGGTACTTATTCTGTCGAAGCGCGATTTAGAAGGACGAAATTTCTATCAGGCTTCGTTAATGTAAACGTCTTTTGCGTTTTTGTAGGTTGAGGCGTAACGAGATACCTTATTGAATTCAATTTCTTGTCGCGAGAAGAGCTCGTCTTTGCAGATAAAAAATGTGCCAGGTGTCCGGTTTTCTCGACTCCGAGTTCAGATGGATTCGGAATGTTATTTTAAACGCGAAGCGAGGAGATTAATGACGTCTCGTTTGACGGTAAACCACAGTCGTTTGCACGTGTCGGTATGGCAATATCGATACGGATAAAGTGGCGGCGCTGGTTGGCAGTGGTCATGGTGGTCGAGAGGTGCGACACCTTGAAAAAGATACGCTACGTAATTGATCCAGGTTGTAAATACTCGGTTCCGTACGCAATTATTTCAGCACGACAAAATCATCTCTATCAATTGATTATAATTTTGGCCGTTAGGCATCTTTCTACGTTCGCGAATGCATCATCTGTGATTTACTCGGAATGTTATGTTATACGTGTTATTCAGCAATTTATATTCTTAACGTGCACTTGTTAACGGTTCCCAATTTGGCTAAATCCACTTTCAAAGTGAACTTTACTGCCACGCGTGCTTTTACTTCTCTTTCGAGCTAACGCCGTTCCGTTTCTCGTTAAAAATACACGGATTCTTTACGGACTATTTCCGTCGTTTTCAGCATTATCGAGCATTTCTCCGCGAGCGTTCTCGTCAATTAAACCAACCTAGCGAGCCAGCCTTGGCAAAAAAGAGGAGAAAATTTTCTCGCAGTGAGTGGCTTAACCGGATGGCGGATTTTTTGTGGCTGCAGTCTTGCCCTCGCGCGCGCACATAGGCGTAAAATGTGCGTTAAATTCACTTCGCTAGAATACTTGTACTCACGAAAAGTACGTTATCGAAAAATTATTTAATATATCGGTACGAGGAACTCTTGGAACATTTTGTCAGGGCATCCTTTTACAATCTCCTCTAAGCCCTCTTCATTTAATTTAATCACTCTCAAGTTGACTTACATCGAGCCCTAATTTCCTTTCTAAACCATATTCTTCATGGCTGAGCGTTTTATTCGCTATTATTTGTGTTATTATATTTATGCCGCAAATTTTGCCGAAGAAAAGAACCTTTTTTTCTCAGGAAGTAGCCTAGTTCGAATTTTCTATCTCCAGGTTCTGCATTAACGCTGATACGCATAAATTGCGTCTTAATTTGAGGACCTTCCCGGAGCACTTTCTCAACGAGCACATTATTGGGAATAATAATTAAGCATGGGCTGCTCCTTGTTACTCATCAAGGGCTCTCTTTGAGGAAATCCAGAAAAGCATGCTGTCGGTTAAGGGACCTATCGATCCGTCGTGTTCGGTCGAACCGAAGCTCTCCTGGTCGAGTCAACTCGCGTTAAAACCTAGTTCTCGTATATCTGAGAGAAAAAACGTCGTTAGCATTACCCGCGAAGTTTAGCTAAAGAGAAAAAAAATTCTGTGAAAGCGGCGCAAACGGAAGGCGGATTTCTTGTCCCGGAGTGCAACACTCGACTCACATATCGGCATGGATTGCACGTTAATTCGAGCACCTCCTCACACCTCTTTGAACTCGACGAGGAATTCTTGAGAATAATAATTAGAGCCAAGACGATCCATGCCACTCATGGAGGACACTATTTAAAGAATTCGAATAAGCAAGCGATCGAATTCAAGACCTATTGATTTGTAATTGAGTTAAAGGGAGTCGAGTCGCTTATGTGTACCTCCACTGAAACATTAATTAACTTTACCGTGTCACCAACGTCACTTTCATTCGTATTAACTTCTCGGTATCAATAATTAGAATCTAGCCTAATCGAATAGTACCTCTATTTTGTCACTCTATGTACTCGATTGTTCGGATCCATTACGGCCGCAGTCCAGGAAATCATAATTAAGCCCAAATTATCCACGGCATCATCGAGCCGCATCATCACCAACATCAGTTTCGCTCATGTTAACTATTTAGTACAAAAAATTAGAATCGAACCTGGTCAAGTGGTGTCTTTATATTATCGCTATGTACTCACTCGTTCAGTTCAGTTAGGGCCACAGAACATGACGACAGTGAGCCTAGATTATTCAAGGTACTCTGGATCCGCTATCATTACCAGTAATGGTTTTGCTCATCTTAATCTTGTGGTACCAGAAATTAGGATCTACAATTTTTTACTGTCTGTACAGTAGATCGCACGGATCCGTTAAGGTCGCAGCTCGGGGAATAACAATTAAGCCCGGATTATCTAAGGTACTATCAATCCGCAAAGTTAAGTCTGGTTCAGGACTCTTTCCCCGGGTATTTGCGGCGTGACGTTAATTTAGCTCCCTTGGGACGCCTGTCCGGAAGCCCATTCTGATACACCGGCGGAACAAAATAGTGAATCGCAGTTCGTTACACAGAAACCAGGAGCCAGTTTCCGTTGGTGGGACTTCGAGTACGAAACTCGCGAAGCTGATGCTCGTCTTAATACCTCGCTGGGTCGCCGACGACGCGGCTTGTACGTCGGGAAAATCAAGCAGGACGGCTCAATTTACGGGGAAATAAGCTCGTGGTGTTACGTCTGAAATGGGAAAAATGAGTGAGAGGAGAGGACTGTCTTCTTGACCAAAAATTATACTTACACGGAAATTGAACTCCGCAGGCGATAAATAAGTTTCACGGCGATCGATAGAAATTTAACAAACTAATATTGCATTAGACTCTCGTAAAGTTCTTTTTTTGATCACGCATTAACACGATTTAATCGACTCATTTTGTTGTATTTTTAATTCCTTGTTCGATGTTTATGGAACCACCGTTAGTACGTATGATTATCTTGTTACGTTCTATTTATGGAAACAAGAATACTTTACAGGTGCAGTTAAGAAATTCCCATAGTTACGCACTTTGAACTACATAAGTACGCTCAAATATACGATGAGCTTATTCATGAGTGGGTCGCGATGGCGCACATTTTTCCAGGTAGCTGGATACGCATATCCGGGCCATCTGTACTCGTATTTAAATTAAAGAAAGGTGGGAAAAGTTCGTTCCCCCTGCAGTCATCAACCGGCCTTTGAGCGATAAAACATCACTCCACGTTAATTCTTTCCCTTTCTCGCGACGTGATAACATTCCTGTTGCCAGGTTGGCTGACTTTTTGCCGCATTCGTCAAACCCCGTGACTCGATAGAACCTTATCGATTCGTCCGCCGCCGATAGCGAAAGAACCAAAAATCGATCCCCCTCCGTCGCTCGTTCTAGGATCCCCAGCGGATTTCTAATTTCCTACGTTTCAGTACGGTATCTCCGTGATTCGCTATCGATGTAGGTTGCGCAATTGCTAAATTCCGCAGTCGTTAGGCTCCACTAATCGATACTATCGAAATTGACCTATAATTCACGGATCGGCCGGTATACGTAAACGCGAAATAAAATATAGCCTCGCTGTCTCCACTAAAAATTGTTTCCAGTCCAAGCCAACTCGAGCTTTAAAAGAGACTTCCAGGCGGAGGTATCGGCCTTTACCAGATATATCGCTTATCTGCATCTAACTTCGATAGCAAACTCGAGTTTATCCGCGTTTATCGAGCCCGTCCGGGTTTATCGTCACGTTATGGACCCAGTTGCTCGACGACGGTCGACCGCGAAGGCCTCATACAGCTACGGCCCTTTTTCCTTCCTAATCTTTGGGAGGCCTCGAGTCATGTGTAGAGGAAATAAAATCCCTGAAACTTGTTTGTTGTGCTTTTGTGTTGTGCACCTTGCCGAGGCTGTGCCATGACGTCACGCTGCTTCGATATGTGCTAGCCTCGCTTTCTGTGCCGTGCAAGCCGAGAAGCGGGGTGATAACACCGCTGCGGTGAGCCTTATCACCAAGCAATATGTGCTCGAGGTGCGACGGGTCGCCTTGGAGTTTTCACGAAGCAAACCGATCCCCTCGAAGGTCCTTTTCGAAGATTTTGTATGTTCTTTCCTTACCTCGAAGGCCGCTGAATTTCATATTTTCTCTATTTTTTCTTTGAATTTATTTTTTGCCCGTGAGTCGAAACGAAAAACTCGTTGGAGATCCAATCCTACCGTAAGTCGAGGTTCCAGGGAACGAATATTTCGCGTCGGACGTGATCTGGTCGGCGTTTTCGATCCAGCGAATACAAACCGCACGGTTTAGCTTGGAATTCGATTGAGATACAATGTAACATCCTGATCGCTGAAAACAGGAGAAGGGAAGTGAGAAAGAGTTGTGCGTTATTGCAAGTTACGGCCAAGTGTACTTTATTGTTGAACAATTCAACTTTCGATTTATCTGGTCGTATTTTCACGTATCTTCCAATTTACTCGGTTTCTTTGTCGCTTTGTCGCGTTGGGCATTTCCTTGGTCTATTTCGGTAGCCCTGTATGTTCGACGGGTGTTCTTTTATTGGACCGGTTGGACCCTTTCGTGCAGTTACTATAATTTATGGAAGACTTCGGAAGAGGGGACCGATGGGTATCGGATTGCTTCGGGAAGACGCAGAGTCGATCGATCGATCGATCGAGGGAGTCGGCACACCATCCTCGCGATTTCAAAGCCGTCCGCTGGATAGCTGGTAGAAGATGGGATTAACGGAGTTCGACGCGAAGGTCGTCGATGCGCGGGGTAAACCCGCAGGTGATCGGCCCGATGGCGGTTCCTTAACGAGGACCTGTGTTTCTTCCCAACAGAGCTGATCGACTCCGCCGATTGGCTCCCAGCAACGACCGAATCGACGCAGACCTCCTCGAGAGGGCCTCGAAGGACGAGCTAAGCCGTATCTCGGACCGTTCCTCGAAGGACTCGTTATCGGGCGATCCCTCCACGAGAAAGATGACAGCTGCCGACTCGAAGAGAGAACGACATCTCGGGACGATGTACTCGAAGGATTTGTCATTTTGTAGGACGAGTCTCGTCGGGGAATTGTAAAGGAGCTCACGGTAGAACCGGACACATGCCTCGAAGAGGAAGCGAAATCTTGGAAGGATACATGTGAAGGATTTGAGAGTTTATGGTGTTTTATTGGAAAAGTTTGAGCAATCGTTCGAGGGTCTCGCTGCAAAGTGGACCAATTTCCTCAAAGAGTGGACGAGGCCTTGGAAAGGTTCTCAACGAACGATCCTAGGCGATCGTGGCAACGGTGCGCTTCCTCCGCGAAACCGATCGACAACTTCTGAAAGACCCCCGAGGTCTCGAATCGGTTTTCGAACGACGACTCGGTGAATCAGCGATTTTACAATCTTCCGTTGGAAAACTCTAGGCGACCGCCTTAGCGGCGATCTTGTCGCGAAACCGGTCGACGAGGTCCAGGACAGCCCCGGTCGCGGAGCGATTCACGCGGAACAACCCGGAATGCTGGCACCGTTCGCGATCTTTCATCGACGAGTTTTTCGCGATCGCCTCGACCGCCACCTGACCATCGAACCGGTCGACAGACCTCAAAGGCGAAGCCGAACCTGGAAATGACTCAGAGGCTCCGGCGACTGGAAGGACCTTTAACTCCTGTTACGAGCCGAATTTACACGATTTCACCGACAAAATCCTTCCGAGACTCTCGCGGAAGCAACGTTTTCGGGAGACCGTTCCTCGAGAAAGGAACTTCGGTAGTCGTCTCTTCATCGAGACGTCCTATACAACCGGCGACTGAAACCAATCAAGAAGGGTCAGACTTGGTCCGTTGTAGCCTGCGAGTCCTTAATTCGGCTCTTTATCAAGCCATATCATTCTTTCTCGGCTAGGCAACGGAAGGATCTCATATCCTGACGAGGTTCGATACCGCAAGGAATCTACAAAATCTAGTCCATCTTCAAGGCGCAGAGCTTTCGACTCGGCCGACGACTCCATCTAGGATCTTTTGGCTCGTTTTCGCAGCGGCGGAGAGAGAGTTGACCGTGGTGTCGGTATCGGGGCCGATAAGGGATCTCCCTGCTCCCGTCTCGGACGGCGTCGCTGTCGCGGCGCGTCGCCGTCATGAGCGAGCCCGCGGCAAGCGCGGCGAACCGCGAGATCCCGCTCGCCAGGAGCCAGCCGGGTAGAAAGTCGATCAGGCCGTCGAGTTTCCGACGAGCGGTTGACGCCGACGCCACTCGAGCGTCGCACCCAGCGAGCGAGGCCGCCAGCCCAACCACGCCAGGGCCTAAGGTCGAGCCCAGTCGCACGACCACCATGGAGGCGCTCAAGCAGTGGACGCTCGTCGAGGGTGACGGCGGCGGACTGAGGGTCGTCGAGCGACGGGTCGAGGCCGAACCCTGGCGCACCAGGTCGCCGGCGCCTCGGCGCGCTCCCCTCGGCCCTCCCGAGGCCAAGTTCAAGGCCAAGGCCGGGCCTGTCGACTCCGGACCCTCGCCTCCGCCTAACGCCCCGGTCAACCTCGGCAGCATCCTCGGCTGCTACGTCGACCCCCGCGAGAGCATCGACATGCTGGAGCGCCTGGAGAGGCAGGTCAAGGCCATCGAGATGGGAACCATCGCCGCCAGGACGAAACTCCTCGGCCAGGACCGGACCGACGTCTCGGCCAAGATCGAGCCCCGGGAGGGACTGCTCGCCAACCTGCCCGACGACGAACCACAAGGGTAACTCCTTTTCCTGATCGACTCTGGGAAGGACGCGACGGCCATTCGCGAAAACCTCGAACAACCTCGTTGCTTTTGGTTGTTTTACGTTCTTTTTTTTTTTTTTTCTTAATACTTTCGTTTGGTTTTGATAGAGACGGGAAATATCGAGGACGCGTTCGCCAATTGGGGGATTCAAGATTAACCAGTTTCTAGATGGTTGGGAGGATTTTCTCGTGAGCGGGTTTTTGGGATCTTGGCAGGTGGTGCTCCGATTCGAGATTTTGAAATCTGTAATCGTTGACTTAAATGGGGTTTGAGATGATATAGAAGACAACCGATATAGTTGGGGTCCTTACAAATTGGAATGGTATTGGGAATTCTTGATGGACCGAGAGGAGGATTATAGCGATACCGGGCTATTTCGAGAATTGTCGCTTTTCGGGAGCCGTACATTCGGACTAACGAAGTTAGAGCGCTGTTTGGTTCCTAACGAGCTTTGAGGTACTCTTAACGAGCTTCCCGTGTAGCAGCTTTTCGCGGAGGCTCGACGCGTTCGACAGGAGGTATTCGGTTTTCGATTGCCGATGTGCAGGGATGGCAGGATAAATGAATTACCGTACAATCGATTCCGACCGATTACCGCCCTATCCGGCGAATCTCGCCGCCTCGAAAGGTCGCGGAGAGTCCAAATCGATCATCGGTCCGAATCCCTGTGATTAACCTTCGCGAATGGCTTTCGTGCTCGGCCGGGCGGAGGGCGCCCGTCTTGTCGACAGGTAGCTCTGTACCGAATTTCGTAATTCGTAAACCAAGGAACCATCCGTTTCGACGCGGGGAAGTGACCAGGAACTCGACTGGAAACACCGGCGTCGTCCCCAAGCCGACGACCACCAAACTCTCGAGGACTGCCTCGGACACGAGGCGCGGCCAGGAGTCAGACATGTTCTTCAAGGTGCAGGCGAGGACCCAGAAAGCCCGCAACCTGCCCAGACCCATTGTCACTAACAGGCACCTCCAGGAACTTTCGACCGCCTTGGACCCCGTGACCAAAGTCACTCGCAACGATGGCCAAAACCAGGCTAACAAGGAGGTATCTATCGGACCGAACGACTTTATATACGCGGAAACTAATCTTGACCTCGCTTTGAAGCCGCGAAACGGTGATCAGCTCTATTCATCGTTGGGTTTTACGCGTAGATGCCCACAGGCCCGTCAGCTGATTGATAGGCTGGCCGATATATGAGCACCGTTTTGATAAGTATCGCTTTAAGACTTCTAATTGTAATTGCGAAATCGTTATACAATGTCGGCCTGCCATTTAAATACGTTATACCGTATATATTTGCCGTTAAACCGATCTCTCTTGACCTCGACCACTGGTACCGATGCTATTTCTACGGGATGTTAGAAAATGGTGAACACGGTTTGTAGAGCGCTATCCTTGTCGAAAATGGAGTCGAAAAGTCCTATTTTTTTCTGCAGTTCCATATCTTACCTGTAATTATGAGTTGAAAAGTAGCTGATCAAGTGCGTCGATTAGCCGAACGCGTGTTAGCCACGCTCGTTTTCCGCGGCGGAGGGACGAGATAACTTATGACGAGCTCTTCGATTTGTGTTTCGTTAATAATTTACCAGTAATATTGTATTTAATGCCCACACGCATCAATTGGTACAGTATACGTATATTACATATATATGGAATATTCGTACTTCTATAGGAGAACTATATCATTCATAGACACTAGCTATACCGAAGATGGATATCTATTCTAAGCATGTGGATGTATATCACGTATACGCATTCATTATTCTGTAGATAATCGCAGATATCTAGATTTTGTATATGCACATCTACGGTTGATCTATATCCTCATACTGTCCATTTACAAGAAATTGATATTCATATTACGTCTATTTAACGTCGAAAAGATATATACATAATTTATATTTCCTAGATGAACGCAGACATCGAGGTTTGCCCCCCCCCCCCTCCCCCGAGAGATGTAGAGAGGTCAGGAGGGAGAGGGTGAGAGGAAGATACGTATATTCACCGTCTATGATATATCCACTACGTCATTAAGACATTCACCAAACATCTGTAAAGAGAACTGGAAAGAGTTAACATTGCCGAGCTATACGATTGTTTACTGTACGTGAATAATACGTACTTCGTCTACTATTCCCACATAGAACATATACGTCTCATATACGTCCGAATGGATCCGCTATTGCCGCGCGCGCGTCTTCCGTATAATATCGCGCAAATCATATTCGCATTATATACGTGTATTGACTATTTATAGATATTTGCGATTATCTATAGAATATGATAATGAATACGTATACGTGATATAGATCTGTAGAAGTAAAATAGACATCTATCTTCAATACGGGTAGTGCATATGAACGTTATAGATTTCCTATAGATTACATGTATGGATATTCCGTATATTCCACAGTGCAGGAAGATTCTGTTGAGTTGGATGAGAATGTTAGAGGTAAGTCTCTTTTTATTGTAAACTTATCACTATCGTCATCAGCATATTCTTGATGCACTACTTGTTTATTTCTAGTTTCAGTATTATATTTGTCGTCCTCAGAAACTGCTGTCCACTGTCATTCCTCTTGACGGTTGCTAGCAGTAGTTTCGGCAGGATACGGTAGATGGCGTATGGCAAGCGTGTGGCTTTCCCGCAAGTGGTACGTTTAGTAGTTAGTTTGTATATAGAACCCAATACCGTTTTTGATGTTTAAGTTGTAATATCATTCTGCTTTACTGTTTCAGATGCCGATATTCCAGCTCTACTTCGAAGAAGACTGTCTTCAATCTGGAGACGAGGGAAGAGGAAAAATGATAATTCGAGATACAACACCCCACACACTTCAAGCAAAAATAAAAGATATTCCTCACTTTCAGATTAAAAATATGTAAGAATACTGAACAGTGCCATGAGCACATAATAAATGTCCATAAATCACCTGTCCATGATTTATTCAATTTGTTGCAACGTCGGTTCAACATTACCTCAGCTCTGACATATGTAAAATAGATGTTATATGTAATGTATATTAGACATATTATTTACGTCTCATATACATATCTGAATTACGTATAATATTCGTACATTAGTCGGTCATGTAGCTCTATTTGATATATCTTATAGATATCCATACGAGATCTATAAGAGATTTATAAGAGATCTGTAAGAGATCTATGAGATATCTAAGATATCTATAAGATCTACAAATATCTGTACGTTACGTATAATATACGTATATGATGGGTATATGTTCTGTGTGGGCAATAACCAACTAGACGCGTCGATTAGTTGAACACGTATCAGCCACGCTCTATTCTCTGCGATAGAAGGACAAAAGACAACTTATGGCGAGCTCTTCAATTCGCATTCCGCCAATAACTTACCTGTAATAATTAATTAAAAATAGCCAACTAAACATGTCGATTAGCCGAACGTGGGTCTACCGCGCTCTGCTCTTTGTAATAGAGGGACGAGATATCTTACGGCGAGCTTTTCGATTCGTGTTCAGCTAATAATTTATGTGCAATAATTAAATAATAGTTAATCAGGTGCGTCGATTGGCCGAACACATGTCAACCGCGTTCTCTACGATAGAGGAAGTGAGCTGTACGATTCGCATTCCGCTAATAATTTATATGTAGTAATTAATTAAATTAATTAAAAAACGGGCATGTGAATTAGCCAATCGCGTATCAGTCGCGCTCCGTTATTTGCGATAGAGGGACAAGATAGGTTGTGTTCTGCTAACTGACGCCGCTATTTGGATAGTTTTAATTCATTACTACGGGCAAATAATGCCCCTTAAACAAAAATTGTACAGGACTTTTCGATTCCAATTTTGACAAGCATAGTGCCGAGTAAACCGTGTCCACCATTTTTCTAAGATCTTATATATCTACCCATTGAAATGATCGATTAACCTTACTTTACTTGGCCATTACGGGGGCAATCGTGAAGTCAAAACCGAGGGCAGCGGTCGTACCTATAGCTGAAGTCTACCCTTTCTCTGGTCTCACTTTTTATTGGGTCCCTCCATTTCCGGCGAAACCCTGAATCAAACGGGAACAGTCGATAGGTCGAATTGGCAGCTGCGCCGGCATCAGACCGAAAGTGTTTCGACATAATGAAATTGCTCAACCGAGTCTGCCGAAGCTCCATTCTCCGCAGAAGTGCAGAGGTGAAACTAGGCCGAATGGAATCCAAGTCGAATTCGATCGTCTCTAGCGACGTAAAACTTACGCACGTTTCATTTTCCCCTCCTACCGACCCACGTCTTTTCATCGCGTCGTGTCAACCGGTACCGCACGTGCCTCCACCGAACTTTAAATCGTGAGACGTCTTAATAGCGAAATCTGCTTTCGTTTCGTTTTGTCTTCGTTTCTTTGCGATATCCGTGAAAATGGAAATTTGTGTTTCGCATCACTTCGACACATCATTTTCTCCGCCGCTTCTCAGCGAGGACTGCGATTAGTTAGGCTTGTTATTATAGCGAAAAGAGATCCTCGTGATAATTTTTTAAATTTATATTTTGGAGCAACACTCTTAAAACGACCCCCAAGGATATTTATTACCGTCCTTTTAATATTGAGAATCAACTTTTGAGATGAACATTAATTGCACTAATTACGGTGTTCGTGCTATTCCCGAGAAGGCAAGTAGGCCTCGCGCTTTTTCTTCGACTTTCGGAAAATTTCTCGAATCCGAAATTGGATCCATTGAGTTGGGAATCGATCGATCCTATTTAGAGAAAGTTTCGTTGTCGCGCGAAACCGGGCCAATCGAATGGCACCGCGGTCTACGTCGACCTAACGGAGAACGATAATCCGCGGTCCCGGGTTTCTGTGTTGGACAGGGTTATCTAGGTAGATTCCTAAAGTGCTCGCTCAGGTGCCCTAACCGAAACAGAAGTACACTCTTCCGGGTGAACTCCGAACTCCGCTTGTTTCGTTGCCTTGCAATTTCGAAGTCCTGCATCTGGCACAACTCCGAGATTTCCGGCTCCGCTGCTGGCAGTTTTCGAGTTTGTGGACATTTTTCCTGCGAAAAAATTGCAGAAATGCAAAAATGCGTTGCACTGAATTTATATAATCATTTACTCACAACCATTTCCACATAAAATGAAAACTTCGGGAAATGGCGGACCACCTTGTACTTTCCAGTTCGAAACCTTATGTTTGGTTTTACACGCCTTCGACACTTACGACTCGTCTCGTTAACCCAATAATGTACAATTTCGTTAACGCGTTACGAGACTTTCCGCCCTCTTTCAGTTTTGCGACTTCTGACGTTGCAGACTTTCGCTTTCATAAATTTCTACAGCAGTGCCGCGATATATCCAGAGTTTTCTATATAATTGTTTCAAGATACGCGATGTACGTTAATCTCTCAGCCGCCGTGCTCGAGACAACGGCAAACTGTTGTGGGCGAACTGTGAACTTCTCAGGTGCGAAACTTGTTTCCGTACTTCGCGAATAGGAACCTTGGAAGTACTCGGGTCTGTTGACCGTAAAGCTTGGCACCGGTGGCTCGTTCGTTAGCGAGGAAATGGTTCTCCTGGTTTCTCTGGCTCGAAGAGTCGCTCGTAAACGGTCCATCCGATGACCCTCCGATGAAAGCTTTATCGACGTGTCGCAAGTCCGCCATGAGTAAGGCTCTACACGGTCACGGAATGGCGTTTTACACGAGACATATACATACCGAGACGCGTCGTTCGAAGTTCCGCTTCCCGTTTCCGCCATTCGCTTCTCGGGATCGAAGAAAAAAAACAAGCTGCAAGCATCTACCTCGTGATGCTTTCCAGTTGCGTAACTGCATATTTCCGGACCTTCAGCCGGCAAGATGTAATAAGAAGGGAAACATTCAATTATTTTAACTGGTTTTTGATCGGTTGTTGAAACACCGCATATGTATGCATTTCCGAGAAACTATAAACGATATATAAGAAGGAACTGCAACGTTTTACGTTTAGAAATGTGAATCGGGGATTTGATACTTCCTTTTTTACTCTCTTTGCACCTTGCGAAAGCGTACGGAAGTATTTTGTGAAGAT